ATTTATTGTAGAGATGAGGTCTCGCTGCCCAGGCAGGTCTCGAACCCCCGGGCTCAGGCAATCCATTCACCTCAGCCTCCCAAAGGTGTGGGATTACAGGCTGAGCCACCGAGCCCGGCTAAAAAAAATTTTTTTAAATTATATATGGCTTTCCAATTTAAAGATATATATATATTTAAGTATATATATATAATTAGATATAATATATAAATTTAAAAGTATATATAATATACTAAAATTTTCAAACTATGTGTTAAAAATTTTAACTATATATGCCATATGTAATTTTTCAAACTATGCAACTCTAAAAATTGCATAGTATTTATTTATATAACATTTACATTTATATATATAATTTGTATTTAACTTTAGAATTGAAACCCTAAATGTTTAGAACAGTGTGACTTGCTATGCACAAGGGCACAAAAATGGGAACAACAGACACTAGGACACTCCTAAATGGGGGTAAGTGATGAAAATTAAGGACTGAAAACTACCCACTGGGTACTATGTCTACCGCCCGGGTAAGGGGCTCAACTGAAGCCCAAGTCTCACCACCATGCAATATTCCTAGGTAGCCAGCCTGAACATATACCCTTGAATCTAAATAAAAAACTAAGTAAATCAACTACATGGCTTGCTAGAACCGGGCTGAAGACTAAGCCCAGGGCATGGCTGGGGCCCTTGCTTTTCTCATGTGTGTTTATCAGCTTGGAGGCCAAATAGGGCAATGGACTGGATTACTTTATCCTGGTTGATCAACCAGTGTGTTTTGGGGCCACTTATCACCTCCGCCCCAGTGGGACAGTCCCACAACCACTTAATTATTTAGTTTCCCAAACAAGATCACCCACATCAGATAAACCGATGGCCATCTTAGGACGCCGGGTGCGCCTCACGTCAGTATCTGTCATCCAGCTGCCTCCGGAAGCCTCAGCCCAGTGATGCATCCAAGACACACACCACCCACCCTCGCCCCCAGAGGCTGGGAGGGACCTACGCGATGAGGTTGAAGGAGTCCTTGTTGGACAGCTGCTCCTCCAGCAGCAGCCGCAGGGAGTGCTGAATATGAATAATGTACATGGAATTGGTCGCAGAGATATCGAGCAGCACAACCACCCTAAAAGGAAACAGAAGCTTTAAGAGGAGAACCGAATCTCTCAGATAATGTTTATTTTGTTCCATTTTACTATTTAAAGTTTTTTCCAGGAGAATTCTGCATGCCAAATTCATGGCTAGCCAAAATCTTCTCTGTGGTTTGAGGTCAACAGAGGTGGGTTTACAACGGTAGCTTAAGGAGGTCACAGAATGTTCTCTCCCAGGAAATTCTTTGATGAAATAAAGTCTCATGGTGGAGATGGTTTAAGAGACAGGGCTTCATATCATGGTTTTTGTAAATTTCTTTGTTTTAAAGAATCAGCATTCAATATTTTTATAGGTTGAGGTCTTTGAGGGAAAACAGAAACCTGGTGAGCAAGTAAGATGAGGAATTAGGTATGTCTGGGCCTCTTGGGAAATGTTTTTATCTTTTTATTCGTTCTCTCTCTGTTTTCAGAATCTCTATTCCTATCTGGGCTTTCTCTCTTTTTACTACTTCGAATCTTATATTCACACCTCATCCCCTAATTCTCATCTTGAGACAACTATGGATAGCAAAAAAAAAAAATCCACTGGATTTAGAGTCAGAAGGCCTTGGTTCAAGTTCCTCTTCCTATCAGCTCTGTGGCCTTAGGCAAGTCACAAAACCTCTCTGATCGGTGGCACACAGTGGCTCCAGTCTGCAATCCCAGCACTTTGGGAGGCCGAGGTAAGGGGATTATCTGAGCCCATGGGTTCAAGAACAGCCCGGGCAACTTGGCGAGACCTCATCTCTACAAGAAAAAAAAAAAAAATTAGCCGGGCATGGTAGCATGCACTTGTAGTTTCAGCTACTTGGAAGGCTGAGGTGGAAGGATCACCTGAGCCCAGCAAGTCAATGCTGGGATGGCTGTGAGTATGCCACTGCACTCCAGCCTGGGCATCGGAGTGAAACTCCGACTCAAAAAAAAAAAACCCCAAAATCAAAAAACCCTCTCTGATCTATTTATAATAAGACTCCTCACAGGATTGATTCTAGAATTAAATTAGGTCAATGTGGTGGCTCATGTGTATAATCCCAGGCTTTGGGAGGTCCAGGTGGGAGACTCTCTAGAGGCCAAGAGTTCGAGATCCCCATCTCTACAAAAAATTTTTTAAAAGATTTAAATTATATAATAGATGTATAGTATTACAAAGTATAATACTTTGTAAATGGCAATGCGTCAAATAAGATAAGAAATGCTAATAATGGCTATCATGGATACCTATCATTTCTCCTTCCTTAGCTTCCATTATCCTGGCAACAGCACCCTGATTTTCCTTTGGGAATCATCTTTGTCTCTATCAGCCCATTTGAGGTGGGTGAAGCTGACCCCACTCTAAGCCTCAAGGGTGGGCATTTGACCCCAGATAATCAAAACATCACACCTCCCTGACCAGGGCAAATGGCATGTGGATGGGCTGATGCCCCAAGCCTTGGGAGTGCTAGGCTGGTGGAAGGTCAAGACCAGAGCTTCAGGAGAGGAAAGCCCACCTGGAAACAAAGCCAACAGAGAAGAAAGCAAAGCTGAGAGGTGGAAGTGGCATGAATGAGCCTCTGGATTCATCCATGCCTGAAGACAGATATCAAATCTATTCTAGAATTTTCAGTGATCTTAATCAGACTTCCTTGCTTTGGTTAAGTCAATTTGCATGTAATTTCTGTTGCTTTTTTTTTTTTTTTTTTTGAGTTGGAGTCTCACTCTGTTGCCCAGACTGGCGTGCAGTGGCCACTCCCAGCCACTGCAGCCTTGACCTGCTGGGCTCCAGCGATCCTTCCACCTCAGCCTTCCAAGTAGCCGGAACTACAGGTGTGTGCTACCACGCCCGGCTGATTTTTTTATTTATTGTAGAGATGAGGTCTCGCTGCCCAGGCGGGTCTCAAACCCGCGGGCTCAGGTAATCCACTCACCTCAGCCTCCCAAAGGCGTGGGATTATAGGCTGAGCCACCGAGCCCGGCTCTGTTGCTTTTTAACTGTAGGAATCCTGAGTGATATTATTGATGTCAATGATGGTGGTGGTGACTTCTTTCTTTGAGGGTTCAGCTGAGAGATTGTTGATCCCTAATCTAAGTGATGGCTTCTGATGCCACCAATGGGAAATTCATGAGTTGGGTAGATGCTGAGTCACACACCAGACCCATGAAGGACAAAAGCATTGCTGGGGAAAGGTACCTTTTTTCACAGACAGTGCCCCAGATTCTCCTGCTGGCCAGGGAGAGCCACTCAATCCGCCTCTCATACATTCGCATAGCTCTGTTGAGTTGTTTCTGCAAAAGCACAGGCCACTGTGAGTGACTGCTCAAAGAATGGGCAATTAAGGGGTCTTAGGGGAAGTGGGAGTACTCCAGTTGGCTTCTGGGAATGTCTTGTCAAGCCCCTGGGTGTCAAGGCAATGTAGCCATTCTACTAAATGAAAAACAAATCTGCCACAAGACCAGGAAGGGAAGAGACAAAGTATTTCATTGTGTCAAATGGGAAGGAAGTAGATCATGCCCCAGAAGATGAGAAACTTTTGTTTGAGGCATCTAGGTCCCTGCCTGGGGAGGTGGGAGATGAAAGTTCCAGAGAGGCCTGTAGAGGGACAATGGCTTGGTGTCTGCACAGCCCATGGCACCTTCCTCTTGTCCCTACTTCCTACATCCCATATTCTAACGGATTGGACCCATCACTGACCTGGTACTCATAGAGGAAGGGTGGGTCCACATGAATGTTCTTCACTGTCCCGTCGTGCCACTCGAATTGTACCATTGCTTTCTGCACTCCAGCATGAGCAGGAGGGGGAGCAAGTGAACAGACACATGTGTGGAAAAGGATTTTAAGTTTAATTTGGGTACTGGGTTCTCCTAGGAAGATGCACAAGAGGGAAATGGGCTCTGAAGGTATCTGAAGTCGGACTGCTCTCCCTACACAATCCCTCTCACCAGGTCATTGTCTCATCTGGGGCTGGCAGCAGAGAATGGTCCCCTGAGTAAGTGACACCTGACAGCAAGCAGGTTGCCTTCCTAGGAGGCTCTTCTGAGCATCAGAGTCATTAAGATACAGTTGGAGGGTTTTGGTAATAACGGAGTTGGTGACCTTAAAACATACTGGCCATGATTTCTTAGGTTTGGGAACCCAGACAGGACTTCATGTACACTTTGAAAATTCAAAGGGTTCATCCTCCACCAAGTCATCATATCCATCTCCCTAACCATCACTCCATCCACTTCATCTTCATCCATCCACTGCGAGAACTATAAATCCCTCATGCCTCTTTCCTTTCAGTCTTCCATCTTTCCACTATGTTTCTACTCACCTATTATTCCTTCCTTTCATTTCTCCAGCCTTATTTTATTTTTTGTTTTTATTTTTTTGAGTTGGGGTCTCACTCTGTGGCCTAGGCTGGAGTGCAGTTCATGGTAGCCTTGACCTCTTGGGCTCAGGTGATTCTTCCATCTCAGGCCCCTGAATAACTGGGACTACAGTCCTGCACCACCGTGCCTGGCTAATTTCTTGATTTTTTTTGTAGAGACAAGGTTGCGCTACATTACCCAGGCTGGTCTCGAACTCCTGGGCTCAAGCAATCTGCCTGCCTTGGCCTTCCAAAGTGTTGGGATTATAGGCATGAGCCACCATGCCCAGCCTCTTTCAGCCTTATTTTAATTTTTACTTTCATCCTTTCATTTTTCCTTTATTCCATCCTTCCATTTTCCCCTTCCATCTGTTCACAGTTCCATCCATTCATCCATCCATCCATCCATCCATGTTTCCATTCATTCATTCACATTTCCATCCACCCACCTATCCATCATTCTTTTCCTTCTTTCCATCTTTCCAACTACCATCCACTCAGCCATCCAGTAAACACATATTGATTGTTTGCTGTACTAAATATTGGGGATGGAGAGTTGGAGAAGAGATTCTTTTTCCTCTTCATACTGGATGGAGATTTAGACTTAATAAATACATGCATGAACACATGGGAGTAACAGTAGAAGTCCATGTAAGGGACAGAGAGGATATAGAGAGAGCAAGTCTATCTTAGCTGAGTGCGAAGGAGAAACCTTCATGCAGACGGTCACAGCAGTGCCTAATATGTTCCCTCTTGCCCCATCTCCCAAGTTCCATCTTAAGATCTTTGAACAACAGCAGTTCTAACAGATTTGATGAGTGTTCTAGAGCCCTGGGTGGAAAAGCTGCACCCCACTCCCGGCCCTCAGGTCCACCCTCTTGGAGTCTGCCAGGTGACTCTTGTTGCCAAAACATTTAAGAAGGTGGGAAAAGTCACAAAGGAGCTCCTCTGTGAGGCACTGGGAAGAACTCTGAATTTGAATTACCTCATGGACAGTTGATGATACCGTTTTCTGGAGAATAGGCACAAATTCCTCTACAGGAGAGAATGCATTGGGTGCCAGAACCTGATAAAGGCTTAATTTCTTGGCTGAAAAAAATAAATAGTGGGGTTGGAGGCACTGCCCAGGAAGCCCCAAAGGGCTCAAGACTTTGAGTTAATCTGTTTCCTGGGTTGCCCTCTTTGGGGATTTACCTTTCAGACCATTGACCTTGAGCCATTCTGCAGACGTCTTGTCCAAGTTTGGAAATTCAATGGTGAGAGGAGAGTCATGCTTTGGGGGTTTAGGCAAGAGGCTTGTGAGTGGCCCTTTTGCAATCTCTGTAGAAATCTGAATTAAATTAGAAAACGCTCATTACATAATGATGTCTTTTTTTAAAAAAATTGATGGTTATCGTTATTGGATGCATCCATTCTCTGGGTATGTTTTAGAAAGAAGCTCAACCACACTTTAATGAAGACAGCATGCAAGGGTTACTTTATCAAATTCATAGAAATATTTTTTTTCTTACCCCAACTTAACCCCTCACCATAAAACCTGGTTTCGACTAACACGAAGGCTGTTGAGGTAGGAATAACTTGATAAAGGTATATTGGAATCCGAATGTGAGGAATTCCTCAGGAAGACACTCCAGCAAAGTGGGTACGTTCCCAACCATACTGATGTCTTAGCGCTGAAAAGTTCTTAATCTCCCCCACTCATCCCATCCCATCAAGTGGAGCATCTTAAAACATTCCTGGTAAATTAAAGGCGGTCTTCCCATCCCCTTCTCTGGAGATTTCTGGAATTTCCAGGGGAAGAGAGACCGTACGGCAACTCGCTTCCTCTTTCCTTCGCCCATCCTCCTCATCCCCTCCCCTATCTTACCATGAAGATCAGCGCCGCAGACTCCAAGATGACAGGGCGCCCCTCTGTGGGTTTCTGAGAACTAAAACTCTGCACCAAATCATTTAGGGAGGCCTCATCTGGCCCAGCCATCCCTTGCCCACATTTATAAAGTGAAAAACGGAGGTTCTGAGAGATTAAATTACATAGCTAGCGTCTAAGTAAAACATGAACCGCAGTTCCCAAACTTCAGATATTTGAGTACTGTCTTCATGAATTTTGCTATATCTGTGTACAACTGTATTATTATTACTTTTTTCTAAAAATTGAGCATGTAACATTAAAGCTTTAAAATTATTAATTTTACCTTAATTTTAAAAATTTACTTCCTTTCATACATAATTTTAGAAAGAAGATCTATCCTGACCATAATTAGGTAGTTTTAAATAGTTAACATTTTAAAAGTATATTAATCCATGTAACTAAAATCATCTGGCAAACCACAAGTAGTACATGCACTTCATTTTGGGAAACTCTGGCAAGGTTTTGGCATTAGTCAGACCTGGGTTCAATCCAAACTCAATCTATTTCTAGCTCTGTGATCGCAGGCAAGTTATGTAACCTCTTAACTTCAGTTTCCTCGTCTGTAAAAAGTAATAATATGCTTACCTCAGATTGTTGTTAAGATAAAGCATTTAAGAATTCAACATTGTGCCTATCTTATAATGAACCTTTAGTAAATGAAAATTATTATAATCATGATACCTATTGTTATTATTTATAGAAAATCTGTATAAGAGCTAGAACTAAAACATAGGGTCCCAGTCTCTCGGTGCTGTGTTTCTTTCACTACATCCAGCCAGGTCAAAATGCTGGTACCTCACAATCCATACCTTCATTCAATGAAGCTATCAATGCATTCTCAGTTCTCTTCAATCCACAGCTAAGTTTTCTTTTCCTTTCTCTCTCTTTTTTTTTTTTTAGAGGCAGGGTCTCTCTCTGTTGCCCAGGCTGGAGAATAGTGGCAAGATCATAGCTCACTGAAGCCTCCAACTCCTGAACTCAAGCCATCCTCCCACCTCAGCCTTCCAAGTAGCTAGGACTAAAGGTGCACGGTGGTGCCTGGCTAATTAAAAAACAAATTTTTTTTATAGCGACATGATTTCACTATGTTGCCCAGGCTGGTTTCAAACTCCTGACCTCAAGTGATCCTTCTACCTCGGTCTCCCAAAGTGCTAGTATTATAGTCATGAGCCACTGTGCCCAGCCCACAGTTGAGTTTTCTGTGTGGTATAAACAGCACTGGCTGATATTCTGCTGATGTTGAGTGAGCCAAGTCAATAAGCAGGGATGTTTGCCCTAAGTGAGGTGCCTGGGTGGGAGCAACTCTCAAGACAGCCTATTCTGTACAGTTGAGGTTTTCATCATTCTCCTAACTGAGGGGCAGGATGGAGGGATGGCAGGAACCCCCTGGTTCTTCTCTGAAACACATTTTTCAGTTAGAAAATTCACCAGGATCCTTCTGGCACCATGGTCGTCGACCCATCCAGCCCACCCAACTCAGAGCTCTGGGGGTACAGCAGAGGAGGGTCTTGCCTTGTTTTACATTCAGGAAGTGAGGGGCATCGGCAGCTATGCCCTCTGAAATGGGTGAGAAAGGGGGCTGGAGGGAGGCCAGCTGAGTGCCTCTGGGAGAAGGTCCCAGAGTCAACATTCACACTGCCTACCTCTTCCATGGTGCAGGTGAGCGTCTCACAGGGGCTGCTGTGGCACAGGGCTTGCACGTGGTCAAGGAGGCTCTGGGCCTTCTGGGTTTCTGCCAGGAGTTTGTCCACATCCTGGCTGCTGTGGAGCTGAGGGTGGGGGAGCAATCAGACATCCAGAAATCACTTGGCTACCAGCAGTGGCCAAGGTGGGAGGGGGCAAGCAGCCAAGTCAACCCCCCAAGCTGAGTGACAGGAAGACTGCTTACACCAGACCTTATAAATGAGTTCTGTGTGCCAGACAGAACCTGCAGACGTGTTTTATTCCACTTGTGCAGAATTGGGCTGCAGTGTTTTTAAACAATTGAAGGGGTTTCTGACTTTAAAAGTGTAAAGAAACACTTTACACCCACTACAATGGCTATAATGATAATTTTTTAAAATGGAAAATCACAAGTATTGGCGAGGATGTGGGAAACTGAAAACCTTGTACAGCATTGGTGGGAATGTAAAATGGTGCAGCTGCTGTGGAAACTGTTTGGTGGTTCTCAAAAAATTAAACATAGCATTACCATCTGATCCAGCAATTCCGCTTTAGTTATATACCACAAATAACTGAAAACAGGAACTCAGATACTTTTTTTTTTGAGTTGGGGTCTCATTCTGTCACCCAGGCTGGAGTGCAGTGGCACTATTATGGCTCACTGCAGCCTTGGCCTCCTGGACTCAGATGCTTGTATCATTATTTACAATAGCCAAAAGGTGAAAGCGACCCAAATGTCCATCACCAGATGAATAAATAAGCAAAATGTGATGTATCAGACAACAGAATATTACTATTGTTGTTATTATTATTTTAAGATGGGGCCTCACTTGGTCACCCAGACTGGAGTGCAGTGGTATGATCATGGCTCCTGAGCTCAGGCAATCCTCCCACTTCATCCTCCCAAGTGGCTGGGACTACAGGCATGTGCCATGACACCCAGCTAATTTTTTAAAAAAATGTTGTAGAAACAAGGTCTTACTATGTTGTCCAGACTGGTATTGAATTCCTGGACTCAAGCAATCTTCCTACCTTGGCCTCCCAAAGTGCTAGGATTACAGGTATGAGCCACCAAGCCCAGCCAGACAATATGAATATTAGTTTACCATAAGATAATATTCACTCAGGCTGGAGTGCAGGGGTATGATCATGGCTCCTAAGCTCCTAAGCTCCTAATCCTCCCACTTCATCCTCCCAAGTGGCTGGGACTACAGGCATATGCCATGACACCCAACTAATTTTTTAAATATTCTTTACCATAAAAAAGGAAAGAAATTCTGACACATGCGCACTATAGACAAACCTTGAAAACAGTGTGCTAAAAAAAGACAGACATAAAAGGTATATAATTCCATTTATGTGAAATGCCCAGAATAGGTAAATCCATAGAAATAGAAGGCAGATTTGTGTTTTCCAGGGGTTGAGAGGATGGGGAATGGAGAATGACTAATGGATACAGGGCTTCCTTTGGAGGGTGATAAAATGTTTGGAACTAGGTAGTGGATGCACAACATTAGGAATCTACTAAAATGCCACTGCATCGTTTACTTTAAAAAGTGGTTACTTTTATGTCATATAAATGACTTAAAATATAAATAAATGACAATTTAAAAATTCAGATTTTGGACTGGGCGTGGCGGCTCAGCCTGTAATACCAGCACTTTGAGAGGCCGAGGCGAGAGGATTACCTGAGCTCAGGGGTTTGAGACTAGCCTGGGCAACTTGGCGAGACCTCATCTCTACAATAAATAAAAAATTAGCCGGGTGCGGTAGCACGCACCTGTAGTTCCAGTTACTTGGAAGGCTGAGGCGGAAGGATCGCCGGAGCCCAGAAGGTCAACGCTGGAGTGGCTGTGAGCGTGCCACTGCACTCCAGCCTGGGCGATGGAGTGAGACTCCAACCCAAAAAATAAAAATTAAAGAGTAGATAAAAATAAAAATTCAGATTTATAGCTCTCTTGAAAAATCAGAAGACCTGTCAATACTGGGATAACATTCCTATAGCACAACCACTGGCCAGAACTGAAGAGGCTGCCTCTTCAGGTGGAGCATGTGCTATCTAGTTCACTACAGTCCCTACCACTCTCTGTTGCCCACCATCAGAGTCAGTTGCAATTTTGGTCATCTTTGTACTGTTTGCTTTGCTCATATAAAATAGATCATCTCTCCATTCATGGTGGGAAAACAATAGATAAGCCAAGAGGGCCACAGGTTGTAAGATAAAACATTTCTCTTTTTTTTCTTGATTCAGTATCACATTCTGTTGCCCAGGCAGGAGTGCAATGGCCTGCTCATGGCTCACTACAGCCTCCAACTCCTGGGCTCAAGCAATCCTCCTGCATCAACCTCTTGAGTAGCTGGGACAACAGGTGTGTGCCACCATGCTCAGCTAATTTGTTTTACTTTTTGTAGAGATGAGGTGTTGCTATGTTGCCCAGGCTGGTCTCGTGATCCTGGGCTCAAGTAATCCTCCCACTTGTACAACCCAAAGTGCTAGAATTACAGGTACAGGCCAGTAAGCCAACACGTTCAAGAAAATATTTCTTAAACCATCGAGTTTCATTCATTCATTTTACCTTCCTAACTTCTGTAGTCTGTGTTCACCTACAGACTGGGCAAGGAGGTGTTAAGATGGGGAGTTGCCTGACCTTGGCTCCCTGGTATGAAACACTAGACGTTGTGATGCTTGAACATACTTGTGAGATGCAAACACTCACTCACTCAAGTTTTTTTTTTTGAGTCGGAGTCTCACTCTTTTGCCCAGGTTGGAATGCAGTAGCATGCTCACAGCCTCAACTTGCTGGGCTCAGGTGATCCTTCCAACTTGGCCTCCAAGTAGCTGGAACCATAAGCATGTGCCACCACACCTGGCTAATTTTTTGATTTATTGTAGAGACGAGGTCTTGCCATGTTGCTCAGGCTGATCTCGAACCCCTGAGCTCAGGCAATCCTCTCGCCTCCACTTTTCAAAGTGCTGGGATTACAGGCTTGAGCCACTGTGCCCAGCCCACTCATGGTTATTAATGGCAGGCACACACAACCTGTTAGTCGAATCGATGATTGAATTCTTAATCTTTCAAATGGATCTACACACATGTTTGTTAATCATTACCTCCCTTGTGAACACTGGGTGAATGATTAGTTATTAACCAGGACAAGAACACTAATGGATGGATTGGACAGAATTAATTGCTCATTCTGCCCCTGCTGTGGGTCCACTGCAGTAGCCAGAGTCTACATCCAGGAGAGAGAACTGAAGCAATTTTTTCAGACTCAGTGCTTGGTAGCAGCAAAGGAAGGCTGGGGCCTAGATTAATGGCAAGTGGATAATCAAAGATTCTGCCGGCCGGGCTTTAAAAGACATCTAGGTTCACAGGCATGCAATCAACTCATCATGCATGCTTGACCAAAGGATCTCTTGCTACTTCAAGTTGTCCTTTTTCTTCCCACATATTCATTTTGACCTAATTTTATTTGAATATGGGTGGGGGAGCCGGGGGAAGGGGGGAAATAAATACATACGACGGACCTGGACCAGATCCCTTGGGCACAGCCTTGCAGGCCAGCTGGGTGAGAAAGAAAGGGGCAGCGTGTTGGCAGAGGGCTTACCTCCATCTCTGGGCTGTAGCAGTGATAGTAGCCCCGAACAGCTTCTGCAAGGTTCTTCAGGACAGCCTGCAGGGATGGTGATAGGGTCAGCCCTCACCAGGGCAGCAGCAACATTCTAACAAGCTTTCTCCAAGGTTCAGTCCTTGGGAGGACTCAACCTCCCAACTCTCCAATGCTTCCCATTTTTCCAAAGGAAGAACCTAGGCACTGGAAATGTGTGCTCTGGTCCACAGCTAGGAGGCCTGTTTAGGTACAGAGTCTTAAAGCCTGGCCCAGCTCACTACTAAGAGATTCAAGAGAAGCCTTGGAGAATCTCAGGTACTTACCAGGGGCACCTGATCCTCGCATTTGTAGGTGATGAGGTGGATGATGAGGTTTCTTCCCACCATGGACTGTTGGATGTAGTCACACAGGATTTCAGAAGGCTGATCTGGGCTGGGGAGAAAACAGAGGTGGGCACCCCAGATCAAACCACTCTGAGAACATTCCAGAGCAAAATGGTAATTCCTAGGAAACATCTACCCATTTCTAACTGGCCACCTGTTTCCAGGTCACCTGTGTGGGATGTAGGGCTGGGTGGACTGCAGCCTGGCCCGACCCAGCTGCCGTGCCCCATGTGTGAATGGCGGGCTAGAAATGTCATCCTTGTCTCAAGCATGTGTGAAGAGTCATACCTGACGATCTAGTCTTCTTTTTTTTTTTTTTGAGTTGGAGTCTCACTCTGTTGTCCAGATCGGACAGTGGCCGCTCCCGGCCACCGCAGCCTCGACCTGCTGGACTCCGGCGATCCTTCCGCCTCAGCCTTCCAAGTAGCTGGAACTACAGGAGTGTGCTACCACACCCGGCTGATTTTTTAATTTATTGTAGAGATGAGATCTCGCCAAGTTGCCCAGGCAGGTCTGGAACCCACGGGCTCAGGCAATCCACTCACCTCAGCCTCCCAAAGATGTGGGATTACAGGCTGAGCCACCAAGCCCGGCACGAGCTAGTCTTAAAGAGTGGTTTGGTTCTTCAACCCCTTCATGTAGTCTGGTATTCACATGGGAAAGGAGACCTACCAGCTTCTCAGTATGGTCACCAGGGAATTCAGTTCCTTTAGAGTGAAGATTTTCTTCAGGGCTTGTAGCAAATTGCTGCCTCCACCAGGCTGCAGTTTCTTTACCCAGAGCTTGAATTCCTGGAGGCTGAGGGGAGACAACAATGGCAACCTAATGGTAGTACTCTTTTTCTTTTATTTTCTTTCTTTTTTTTCGAGTCAGATTCTCACTCTGTTGCTCAGGCTGGAGTGCAGTGGCACGCTCATGGCCACTGCAGTCTCAACCTGCTGGGTTCAGGTGATCCTGCCACCTCAGCCTTCCAAGTAGCCGGAACTACAGGCACATGCTACCACGCCCGGCTTAGTTTTTGATTTATTGTAGAGATGAGGTCTTGCCAAATTGGCCAGGCTGGTCTTGAACCCGTGGGCTTAGGCAATCCTCTCACCTCAGCCTCCCAAAGTGCTGGGATTACAGGCTTGAGCCACAGCGCCCAGCCCTCTTTCTTTTTTTTTTGAGTCAGAGTCTTCCTCTGTTGCCCAGGTTGGAATGCAGTGGCATGCTCAAGGCTACTGCAGCCACAACATGCTGGGCCGAGGTGATCCTTCTGCCTCAACCTCCTAAATAGTTGGGACTACAGGAGCATACCACCATGCCTGGATAATTTTTAAATTTTTTATCGAAATGAAGTCTCACTATGTTGCCCAGGTTGATCTTGAACTCCTGGGCTCAAGCACGCCTCCTACCTTGGCCTCTTAAAGTGCTGGGATTACAGGCGTGAACCACTGCACCCGGCCCTTTATTTTCATTTTTTTAGAAACAGTGTGTCACTCCATTGCCCAGGCTGGAATGCAGTCATGTGATCAGAGTTCACTACAACCTTGAACTCCTGGGCTCACATGATCCTTCCACCTCAGCCTCCTGAGTAGCTGAGACTATAGGCATGTGTCATCATGCCTGGCTAATTTTTTTATTTTTTGTAGAGACAAGGTCTTGCAATGTTGCTTAGGCTGGTCTTGAACTTCTGGTCTCAAGTGATCCTCCCACCTTGACCTCCCCCAGAGCTCTGGGATTACAGGCATGAGCCTACTGCACTTGGCCTACAGCTAGGAGGCCTGTTCAGGCACAGAGTCTCAAAGCTCTTCTTAGGTGCAAGGTCCAGGACAAATATTACCTCATTTAAGTCGATCAATAACTCATTGAAGTGGTACCTTTATTCTCATTTTGTCGATGAGGAAACTGAGTCTCAGAGTTAGGACTTGCCCAAAGTGATACTGTAAGCAAATGTACAATTTCCAGCCAGGTCTGACTCTAGGACCTGAGCTTTAGCGACTGCTGTGTGAGGGCCTGGGGCTGAGTTCCCTCTTCCCCACCACACCACAGTCAACCCTCCTGGGAGCCAAACCTCAGCAAGGGGCATAGAGTTCATCCCCCAATCCTGAGAGCTCTAAGAGAGGCCACCCTGGCTGTGTAGCTATAACCCATGTTGGGATACACGCCACTGGTAAAGGAAAAAATGACTTAATTTGGTATCTTCTTGGTCAAATATCTTGAATGGCACTAGTGAAAGAGTTCTGCTCTTTCTAATCCAAAAAATCAAAAATATCAACTTGGTGCCAATACTCATAAAGACACTGACACTGAGGGAAGAAAATGAACAAGTCAACATCCCGGGAAGTCACTTACGTGGAGGCGCTGACTTCCACGGTGTCTGGCCAGAGGGACATGGTGGTGGTGCCAAAGGACAGGACATACAGCTTCTCCTTGAGGCTCAGCTGCTCATCAATGAGGCTCTGTCAGACAGAAGGACATTGCTAGCTCCCAGAGCCGGGAGTATGTGGAGCCTGGCTTCAACTCTCTAGCCTTGGCTGGCTCCTCTCTGCTGAGGTGTAAGCTGTGCTGAAATAGGGCCACTGAGGCTCAGCTCAATGGCCCACCCCAAGCTGACATCTGCTTTCTGCCTGCTGAGTGTTGCGAGGGTGGGATGAGCATCTTAGCTGCTCGTCTCAGTGTGTGCTATGACTGGACCCTTGACACTTAACTGTGGCACCGGGGAGAAAGGACGGAGGGTAGGGGCAAGGGCTTCTCTCCAAGGCCTGTGAGTTGGGGATGGAGCAATGGACACACGGCAGCCTGTTCAGTGCTCTTGAGCTGTGCCTGGTGCGTATTCGCCAAAAACCATAACACCAAAGAAACCATCCAGAAATGGTCAGCAGCCATGTGCCGTGCCATGCTGGAGTCAGCCTCCTGCTGATTCCCACCTTCACATCCTCCTTCCAGGGACCTGTGAGCTCTTGAGGCAAAGTCTAGTTCATAGGCACTGCTGTGGCCAGAATACTAGAAGTTCACACTGCAGCTGAAAATGACTCTGCATTTTCTTCGACTGTAGGTGCTAATTAAGTGTGAACTGTTCTTTACAAAACATCCTGTCTTGCATTTGCTATAAACAAAGCCAGTACAAGCTCAGGAAGGGGGTGGGGTGGTTCTAGTACTTCTCTGTGCTAGAGACACTTACCATGAGGTCATTTTGGAACTCCTCCTGCTGAGGGCCACTGCTGACCGCTGACACATCTATGAGGATGCCCACTCTGGCCCCCTGGATGAGGCCGAATGCCTAAAACCAAAGAAGACATTTGGAAACAGCTGGCATAGCCCTGTGCTTTTCTCAACCTTGCGCTGAGCTGCTCTGCATGATGCAGAGATGCGAACACTCCCCTCTCCTCCACGAGGAAAAGCAGACAAAACTCCACTTTACAGGGGGAGAAGCAAAACCCAATGTCCTGACTTCAGTTTTAAGCGCTGTCTGCTATTTTATTTTTTTTCTGTATTTAGATATTGTGGCAGTTTATTCTTTGAAAGTTTTTTCTTAATATTCACTGTCCACTCTTATAAAGTAATACATGTTCATTATAGAAAGTCTGGAGACTATAAAACGGCACCCCTGTGTGAAGATAAAAGCTTGACAGCTAATTACATCAGCTTATCTAATTTAATTTCTCTAGATCCTTATTTATTTATTTATTTATTTATTTTTGTCTACTCTACCAATCAAATGCAGATGTGTTAAGCTCGACAGCTGTGATGGTATTTTTGAGTTTTTAATTTTTTTTTTTTTTGAGATGGGAATATGCTATATTGCCCAGGCTGGTCTTGAGCTCCTGGGCTCAAGCCACCATGTGCCACGAAGCCCAAGATTCTAATTATGTTTCTAACAGCTATTATTCCACAGATGCTCCTTGACTTATGATGTTCTATGTCCTGATAAATTCATCATAAGTTGAAAATATTGTAAATAGAAAATGCATTTAATACCCTGATAAACCCAACACAGAGTCGAAAAATTTTGAGTCAGACCATCCTAAGTTGAGGACCATCTGCTAATGCTGCTTAATTCTGCATGTAACTGCTCATGCTGTTATAGCTGCATGGTGAATTGGAACTTTCATTCATATGAAATTGATAGTTCTCAAAGGCCAGCAGGTTCCATTTGCTGCTTTTACCTTAAATCCTACTTTATCAGATGCCTGATTTTTCTTTCTTTCTTTTTTTTTTTTTTTTTTTGAGTTGGAGTCTCACTCTGTTACCCAGACTGGAGTGCAGTCGCAATTCCTGGCCACTGCAGCCTCGACCCACTGGGCTCTGGCAATCCTTCCGCCTCAGCCATCCAAGTAGCCGGAATTACAGGCACGCGCTACCATGCCCAGTTGATTTTTTGATTTATTGTAGAGATGAGGTCTCACCAAGTTGCCCAGGCAGGTCTCGAACCCGCAGGCTCAGGCAATTCACTCACTTCAGCCTCCCAAAGCGTGGGATTACAGGCTGAGCCACCGAGCCCGGCTAGATGCCTAATTTTTCTATTCAATTCACTCTTCTGCTCTCAAAGATGAGTATTTTACATCTTCTCTCACACCTCCAGCATCCCTTCTGTACTCTCCCAGCAAGTTATTTTGCCTCCAATTTCACTGAGAAAACAGAATCATACCGAAGAGAATTTTTAGAAAATCTTTTCACGAAGACTCTACCAACCTACCCGCCCCTGCACCACACACTTCATCTTTTTCCTGTTACGATGCATCTATCTGAGGCTGACCAACAGTGGTCTAAGGCCAATCCTTTGACGTGCATTAGTGAATCTGCTCTTGCTAAATAAGAACTGTCATCATCCCATCTCCTCGTCAATTCCTATTTGTTGTACAGTTTCTACCACCATAAAACTAGGCTATAATAGTGCCCATCTTAAAAAACAAATAACCCTTTCAGGATCCCTCCCTCCTGCCACTGCCTTATTTCTCTGCTATCCACTCTAGCAACAAGTCCTTACCTCCCATTTCTTTGTGACCCACCCAGCATAGGCTCTCACCCCCACCCCCCACCCCCACTCCTCTGAAGCCAGACTCATCAAGGTGATGGATCAGTGGCTGTCCTCTTGCCAAGCCCAGTGGTCATACCCATTCTCAACTTTCTCGAACTCTGAGTAGCATATGACAGTTTGACAAATTGAAAACACGTAGTACATATTTTCAGGACACCACATTCGTTTGCTTTTCCTTCCACTCCCTGGCCAGTCCTTCCTAACTTCATTTGCTAGAGAGACTCTCCTCCTTGTTCCAAGGTCTAAATATTGGCATGCCCTTGGAACTTGCCTCTGAAGGTGTGGGCCATGGGCTGACAGCCTTGCCATTGCCCAGGAGCTTATTAGAAATGCAGAATCTGAGTCAGGTGTGGTGGCTCATGCCTGGGCAACATGGCAGGACCTTATCCCTACAATAAATAAGTTTAAAATATTAACTGGGCGTGGTGGCGCATGCCTGTAGTTATAGCTACTTGGAAGGCTGAAGTGGAAGGATCACCTGAACTCAGCAGAACGAGGCTCCAGTGGTTGTGAGCATGCCACTGCACTCCAACCTTGAGACTCAAAAAAAAGAAAAGAAAAGAAAAGAAATGCAGAATCTCAGGTCCCACCTCAGATGTAACTAATTAGAGTGTGCATTTTAACAAGTGCCCCGAGGAGATTTGACTGCACATTCACATTTGAGAAGGCTTGGGCTTCATTTTCCACTCTTTCTCTTCTTCTTCTTTTTTATTTTGAGTTGGGGGGTCTCATTGTCACTAAGGCTGAAGTGCAGTGGAATAATCACGGCTCACTGCAGCCTCCATCTCCTGGGCATAGGTGATCCTTCTGCCTCAACCTCCTGAGTAGCTGAGACTCCAGGTGTGTGCCACCATGCCTGACTAATTTTTTGATTTTTTTGTTACAGAACAGGTCTCGCTATGTTGACTAGGTTGGTCTTGAACTCCTGGGCTCAAGTAATCCTCCTGCCTCAGCCTCCCAAAGTGCTGGGATTACAGGCATGAACCACCATGCCTGCCCCCACTCTCTTATTTATCTATATCAGGGTTTGCCAATTTCCACACTACGGACTTTTTAGGGCCAATAATCCTCTATTGTGGGGAGCTGTCCTGTGCATTGTAGAACGTCAAACAGCATTCTTCACTGCTGCTAAATTAGATACTAGTAGCACCTCCCTCCCCTAGCTGTGACAACCCAAAATGTCTACAGATATTGTCAAATGTTCCCTGGGGGAGGGCAAAATCACCCCCCAGTTGAGAACCACTGTTCTGCATTCATTCCCTAAGAGATCTCTGAGTCATCCGAATGCTGATGATTATCCACGGTCCATCTCCAAGCAGATGTCTCTTGAAACTCCAGACACGTGCACCTAACAGGCTGCTCCGTGGCTCTGCCTGGATGTCCAGCAAGTCCCTCAGACTTCCTATGTCCAAAACAAGACCTCTTGGTTTTCCTCCTCAAAACTGTTCCTCCTTCAGCCTTTCCCATCTCTTTACCGAGATGGCATTCGACATTGGCCCAGGCACTCAAACCTATCCAATCCATCAGCAAGTCCTACAGGCTCTGCCTTCCAGCTGTGCCCTGAATCCACCATTTTTCACCCCATTCACACTAGCACTTGAGTCTAAGCCAACATCATTCTCACCTAGCCTGTACCTCTTGTTTCTACCTTTGCTTTTTACAGTCAGTTTATGCAGCAGCTGGTGTGATCCTTTTGAAACTTGTCATGTCACTACTCTGCTTAGAACCTTTACCTTTGGAATCAGGCCTTCCCTGACCTGAACCTGCTTATCTAACCTTGCCTCCACTCACCATATGCTCACTCTGTGCTTGTTATACTGGTATGTGTGCTGCTCTGGAACATGTCAAGCTTGTTCCTGCCTCAGGGCCTTTGCATTTGCATTCTGGAACCTTCTCCCCTAAATCTCTGCAGGGTTCACTCCCTCACCTCCTCTAGGTATCTGTTCAAATGTCTCCTTGCCAGAGTGGTTTCCTTGACTGTTTTTTAATTTTATTTTGTATTTTTTTAAGAGATGGGATCTTTCTCTGTTGCTCAGGCTGGAGTGTAGTAGTGCAATCATAGCTCACTGCAGCCTAAAATTCCTGGGCTTAAGGAATCCCCCTGCCTCAGGCTCCCAAGTAACAGGAACTATAGGTGCAAGCCACCAAGCTCAGCTGATTTTTTGCAGAGATGGAGGGGGGGTCTCATTACATTGCCTGGGTTGGTTTTGAACTCTTGGCCTCAAGCTATCCTCTGGCCTTGGCCTCCCAAAGGACTGGGATTATAGGTGTGAGCCACCGCACCGAGCCTGGCCATTCTATTTAAATAGTCCTTCTTCTGATCCACTCTCTATTCCCTTACTTGCTCTATTTCTCTTTATAGCACTATCACTAACTGCCTTTGTATATAGTTGGTTCATTTGTTCATTGTCCTCTCCTTCTGAAGGACTCCCTGAAGGTAGGGCCTTTGTATTGGTCATGTCTGTACCCTCTTCCCTAGAATGATGCCTGACACACAGTAATCATCCAATAAATACGTGTTGAATTTATGACCCAAATGTGGCATGAGGCTTTCCAGGATATTGCCAATTCTGAGAAGCCAGTAAAAATCTAGAACCAGTTCTATTCTTTTTTTTCTTTTTTTTCTGGGAGCTGTGATTCAGAAGCTATCTGCATCTATTTTTTTTTTTTAATAATTAAAAAAAGCTGCCATTAGAGCTTTACAGCTTTGAAAACACTCATTCCCTAAACCTAGCTATCGAAGTTCTAGACATTTTATTCCATAGAAATAACTGGATGAATGCATAAGGGGGAATTGGAGCGCAGTGATATCAGATAATCTCATGTTTAAAGAGAAGTCTGAAAGCAGACAAAAAAGTGAAATATCAGGATTTTTAAATCCTGGCATCGAATACAAAAAATATTTAAAACTAGCCAGATATAGTGGCTCACGCCTGTAATCCCAGCACTTTGGGAGGCAGAGGCAGGAGAACTGCTTGAGCTTAAGGTTTCAAGACCAGCCTGGACAACTTGGTGAGATCTCTTCTCTACAATAAATAAATTTTTAAACATGGTGGTGCACACCTGTAGTTCCAGCTACTTGGAAGGCTGAGGCGGAAGAATTGCTTGAGCCCAGCAGGTCAAGGCTGTGGTAGCTGTGAGCGTGCCCCTGCACTCCAACCTGGGCAACAGAGTGAAACTCCAACTAAAAAAACAAAACAAAACTATGGGGCCAATAAAAATACAGTTGTGGGACAGATTTGGCCTGCATGCAGCTAGTTTATAATCCCTGGTTTGTCTGCCACAGATATAGAGACAGACAACCAGAAAAGCAAGACCACTTATCCATGGCCTTACTGACAGAACAGTGGGAACTAGACCAGTGATGGTCTACCCATCACCAGCTGCCTCAACATACAGAGGCCTTGTGAGTTGATTTACAGGTGATCACTGGCATGCAATCTGGGCTCTTTCATGGCTCCTCTGTAGTTCATTTAGGAAGGAGAGGAAAGGGGAAGGGCCCATCCATTCCTGCCCAGTTTGCCCAAGGTGCCAGGACTGGTGTGATGGGGTGGGTGCATGAGAGCAACAACAATTAAATGGATGTTTTTTAGGAGTGTGTGAGGATTTGGATTTGCTCAGCCTGTTGCCATGGCAACCAGAGGGAGCATGCCATAGCTGCACCTGCTGACTAGTCCAAGCAAGTGCAGAAGTTTCTGCATCTGAGATGCAGACCACACCCTAGAGTTGGCGGGGACCGGCAGCCTTAGCATTGTTGTCACCCCCCTGGTCTTGGGTAGAGGTGGAGATGGGGAGTGAGGAGCATGAATTTCAGCATCCACCTGTCCCAGGCTTTAAAACAAGAGCTGAGGGTTGTGCCTAAGCAAACAAGCAAATGGGAAGCCTAAAAAGTATTAGTTGGAAGAAATTAAGCTAAAGCAAATAAGAAAGCAAATCAAAGATTAGTTTGCCCATGATAACTCTTCTATCCTTGGGGTCTAAGGAAAATGTTTCATCAAACTTTTAAGAAAAGTTATATCCAGGCTGGGCCCCGTGGCTCATGTCTGTAATCCCACCACTTTGGGAGGTTGAGGCCAGGATGATTGCTTGAGCCCAGGAGTTCGAGATCAGCCTGGACAACATAGCAAGACCTTGACCCTACAACAAAATTAAAAATTTAGCTGAGTGTGGTGGCAAGTGCCTGTAGTCCCAGCTATCCGGAAGGCTGAGGCAGGAAGATCACTTGAGCCTAGGAGTTAGAAGCTATGGTGAGCCACTGATCATGATCATGCCACTGTACTCCAGTCTGGGTGACAAAGTGAGATTCTGATTTAAAAAAAATGTTTTAGCTTAAGCTAATTTGAGTTGGAGGATCATTTGCCACTGAAAGGGCTCTAATAAACACAGATGGAATGAGTGAAAGGGGGCAAAGAACAAAACCCATGCTGTTACCTTCTTGCTGTTTTCTGTGAGCCACTGAATTCTCTGTCGATAGAGTTCAATAGCTCTGTGAAAACACCAGAAAGACTCATCACCCAAGGTCAACTTCATCTCTGAGCGAATGACATATGTGGAAAGAATTTTGTTGATAACGTGTCTGAGGTCTTGGAAGAAAATAAGGCAAAATCTAGCAAAGACAGAACCAAAGATATTAGCATGCCAGGACATCAAGTGAAAGACCAGGGGCTTGTGGAAGGGACCGCATATGTTGATGCTGTTCTACTGGTGATGCAACGTACATTATAAGTGTTTATGGTTTGGTGGAACGAGGAGTGAGCTGCCAGGTGAGGGTAGGTCTGTGGAGAGTGGGGAAGCTGCTCTAGTGAGGAAAGTGGAAGAACGCTCTTGCTCTTGCTCACATCTGTGTCTTCTCAGTTGAAACTGTCCCTAGTTCCTTGGACACTTCATCAGCAGTTTCTTGCTGGATTGATCAACCCCAAAAACACAGTTTCTGAAAAGTAACCAGGGGAACTTCTTGAACTTCTCTTATTGCAGACCATTCCAACGACTCGTTGGAGACTAGCATGTAACAGGTGCTCAAGGTAAGGACTCAGTCACTTGAGTTCAGTTGATTTGCTCTTATGGAGGGCATGTAGAATTTGAGGGCTTAGAAGTGGAACAAGGAAGGCCTTTGGATATGAAAGCATGAGGGGGTGGGTGGTGAGTAGTCATAGGGGACACATGAGTATGAATAGAGCTAAGAGGATAAGTTTTATTATAAAACATGCTTGTGTTCAAAATCCGGCTCAGTCATTAACTGGCTGTGTGACCGTGGCAGGTGTGGTACCTTCTCTGAGCCCCAGTTTCATCATCTCTAACATGAAGATAATAATAGGATCTCATCCAAGTCAATTTGCCAAAAGTCAATTTAGTGAAAGCTAATTCTCCAAAAATAGATTTGCCAAATGACCAATTAGCTAAATAGACTTGAACATTCTTTAAAATGCTGGATTTGCAACTAAAACTAACCAACCAGAATATTGCAGAATTCTTTAAAATCTATTTAAACTTCCAACCCAAGAAAAATTACTTACACAACTAATAGTTAAAATGTTTTAACAAGTTTGGCAAATTGGCCATTTGGTGAATGGTGATTTAGTAATTGGCTTTTGGTTGGCTGATTTGAGAGTAATACAATGTTTTTGTTTGTTGTAAGGATGAAATAAGATAATACATGTGTCCCTTAGCAGAATTTCTGACACATTCATAACTGTTAACTATTAATTAATTATGATTATAACCTTTCAAGAAACAGTGGTCATGGATTGTCAATTGATACAGCTGGATTGGAATCTTTTTTTTTTTTTTTTTTGAGTTGGAGTCTCACTCTGTCACCCAGACTGGAGTGCAGTGGCCGCTCTCGACCACCGCAGCCTCGACCTGCTGGAGATCCTTCCATCTCAACCTTCCAAGTAGCTGGAACTATAGATGCGTGCTACTATGCCCAGCTAATTTTTTTTATTTATTGTAGAGATGAGGTCTCGCCAAGTTGCCCAGGCGCGTCTTAAACCCGCGGGCTCAGGCAATTCACTCACCTCAGCCTTCCAAAGTGCGGGATTACAGGCTAAGCCACTGAGCTTGGCTTGGGTTGGAATCTTCAAGACTATCTTATCTATTGATTATGGAGAGTTGTGTGTGTGTGTGTGTGTGTGTGTATTTGCAAGTATACATGTGCTGTCAAAATCTGGTTTATGAGTGGGGATGCATGCATATTTTGGCATATATTTATAAAGGGAGGAACCCAACCGATCTGACGTTGAAAGTTGTTACTCAACCATTAATGCATGAAGCTGTAAGTTTTTAGGTGTTCATCCAAAGAGGCCACGGATTTTAAAAGGCTGAGAGACACTGATCTGGTCCAACTTCTTTATTTGGGAAAAGAGGAAACTAGAGCTAGAAATAGGAAGAGAGCTGCCCTAGGGCCCACAGAGATTGCTGTTTGAACAAAATTACTTTCCAGGCTGCTAAAATGACATAATTATTCAGCTCTGAGGTGTTGGAAGGACACTAAGAAACATACTCACTCAGAAAGCTTTGATTCAAAGTGGCGAATTATCTGGGTGGAGAAATGAAGTTTTTGCATGACACTGGTGCCTTCCTCCCTGAAGAAACAAAGACTTATGAGGGGTCTCTCAGGCCCGGGGGCTGTGTGCAGCGGTAGCAGGTGAGGGAATGGCTTCAGACTTACAGTACTGCTGTGCCCTGACTTATCAAGTCAGCCAAGGTGAGTTTCTCAAACTTTAAATTGTGAGTTGAAAGCCAATCTTCAGAGTCCTGCCAAGCTGAAGACTGAGTCTCACTCCCCTGCAGCCTCTGCAAGACAAAAGCCATAGAGAAGACAAAAGCCACAGAAAACCATGGAGAGAGGGCAAGGTTGAAGGGGCCCTAGGTTCTCTTCACACAGATACCCAAGGGATGTCAACTCTGATTGATCCCACCTTAAAGCAGTCTAAAAATTCCCCTTGCTGTGGGGACAGATGGATGTGAAAGCCTGTGCTCTGAGCCAGTTGCCCTGGATAGACTACCCATTTTCCACATCTCACTTCACCCCCAATAAGCGGCCCGATAAGGCTAGGATCACTCACCATGTCCTGCCTTGTGATACTGAACAGGCAAACACACAATGACCAGTCAATACGGTGGCAAAACTCCGATTCTGACCTCTGCTGTGATTGGCCCAGAATAGTCAGGGTCTGGTCAATGACTGCTAGCTTCCCTATTTTTTCGTCCCCACTTCCAACTCAGGAGCAACTAGAGAAAAAAGCCAAATATGCCTCCCAGACCAATCACATAAGATATCCTGCTTCTAATGAGCCTGCCTCCAGTCTCCTAATGCCAACATTCTCCAATCAGGGCACACCTGAAGCCTTTCATTTTTTTCATGATAAAGCTTTCCTACTCCTGCCTGCCTTTGAGTATCTGCCAAACACAAGCTGACTCCTTTGCTATAGCAAATTCTGAATAAACTGCCTCTGTTTGTCCTCACTTGGGTGGTCTTTATCACCATACTTATGTTTCCTTTATCTTTTGAGGTGTATTAGTTCTGCCTCCTGTCAGTCTAAGGTGTCCTCAACAAATGAGGGAATGAGTTTATTCTGTCATTGCAGAAGCCAGAACTGGGAGCAGATGATAGATGTTTTAGAGAAATAATTTTCTAGCCATCACAGAAGTCTGGCCATGAAATGGACTACATTTCCCTGCTTGTACCTAGTGACCTCTGTGTCACTTATATAGTGCTAAGGACAGGATGTGAGTGGTGGCCTTGGTGGTAAACCTGAAGCTGCTCATGGCAAACATTCAACATTGAAGATGGTTTCTGGAAGTCAGAGGTGGGAAGTCCTGATCTGAGGCTCTAAATCTGCTTTGCCTTATTCGCTTCTTCAGGAAGTTGGCATTTCTTCCTTTTTCCGATGGGTATTTCTGAGTTCTTACTACGAACTAGGCACTGTTTCTGAGGCTAGGGCTTCCACGTGAACAAGACAGAAATGATCTTGCCTTCTAGGACTTCCATTTTAGTGTGGGTAGATGGATAGAGAAGAGGAAACAAAATCAATGCACTAACAATTTCAGAAAGGAACAGTTCTACTAAGAAAACAGAGTGGAGAAATGTGATAGGAAGTGAGTGAGGTGGAGATGAAGAGGCCCTTTAGGTGGGGTGAAGGTCAGAGAAGGTGCAGGTCTGAGCCGAGACCTGAGAGCTAAGGAGTTGGGCTGGCCATAGCTGGGAAACACTTTCCAGGAAGAGGCGTGGAGGTGGGGAGGGGTCGGGGTATTGGAAGAACAGAAAGGTGGCTGCTGTGGTTGGATTGTAGTGAATATGGGGTGGCATAGATGTATAAGGCAGAAATTCTGCAAGAATGTCCACACAGCCACTGTTGTTTGCGGGCCTTAAATGTTGCTGGAGTTGGCCGTGACGCACTTAGGGCATGGAATGACATCATAAGGGGATCAGCTCAGTCCCATTGTGAGCGACACCACCCCACAGCATCCGATGACTGTGGGATGGGCCTGTTTAACTAATCTATCAGGACTCCAGTCTAGATTCAAAGATGTCTCCTGGGCACTGCTTGAACCCCAGGTGGTTTCTGTATGGGCTCGTATATGCCGGGACCTTCACTGTAGTGGGCGAAGTGGTGGACAAGGGGTTGAAAACGGTCTGCTATAGCTAAATGAGCTACGTTGGATCATTGGATAGGACAGAGGTTATAGGAAGAGGGACAGGGTAGACAGACTAGAAGAAGAGCAGGAGAGAAGAAAGGAGTGCAGAACCCTAGATTCTCTATTTACTAGCTTTGTCACATGGTGAAATAAAGCAGAACATAGTCTTAAGGGTTTCTGTATAAACATTTCTCCACAAAGATACACCCCCACCTTAGGTTTGGTCATAAATAGAGTTAAGAGACAATGAATATAAAACATTGCCATTATATTCCAGCTAGATAGTAATCCATGTCTCAAGTTCTGTACCTGAGACCTGCTCCACTCTCTATTTCAAAAGGAAATTAGCAAGTGTTAGAGAAGTATGAAAAACACACTCATAATTACAGCAAACAAATAGCACTTATTACATGTCAAGCACTTTCTGTATATTAAATAATTTTAATTCTACAAAGTAGGTCCCATCATTATAATTCCATTTTACTGACAAGGAAACTGAGGCACAGAGAATTTAAGTAAGTAGCACATCCAGCAAGTAAGTGGTGGTGCTGGGATCAAACCCAAGCTGTGAAGCTCAAAGTCGTGTTTTAACCCTGACACTATATCACCTCTCTCAACTAGCACCAAACTGTGACTATCTCCATAAAGGACTGAGAGAAAACTGACTGACAAGATTACTGTCTCATTATGTGACTCTGGCTAATGAATGTTCTGCCTGGGATAGCATGTCATAGTCCCTGTCCCATACTTCGGGAAACACTGCGCCACATTTTTTGAACACTAGATGTCACTCTTCTTATCGTTCAGGACAACCATCTCTGGTTGGAAACACTGAGCACAGGAGACTTAACAATGCACTCTCTTTCATTTTTCTCTCATTTGAAATGACCTGTTCTGTTTTAGGACATGGATTTTGTATTATGAATACTTGAAGATTCACTATTGAACCCATTATAGATTTTGACTGTAGGCCATGCTGATTTTATACCAAAGGAGGACTTTACATAGAGAATGGTAAGATCTTTGTGGCAATTCTTTTCCTCTTTCCCACAGATTTCCATTTGTGAGGCAAAGGAAGTCTCAGCTGTGGCTGCTAAATATAAAAATGATCCTTTGTACACCTGGGAAGTCACATATTTTTATATAAAATTAGATGAAATAAAGACCCATGTCATCAACATCTGAAGTCGCTGAAAGATTTCTTCAGAATCTCAAGACTCTATCGAACTTTCCTCATTTCCTTTTAATTAAACTTGCTATCTGTTAAGTGCCAAAATTTGAGAAAAGGAAAGCATGAGTATTTTTCTGATTGCTTAATTGTCAACATTATAACTATTGTTTGACTGGTTATCATTCCAAAGGTATCATATTTAAACTCTAGTGTAGATTAGGTAGATGGTTGTGGGCTAGCCTCACACTTGACAATCACTGATGGCAATTGTTTCCATAGTAGAATGAATTTTGAGTTCTAGACAATCCATTCGCCCTCTTGGAAAGGCAGTTCATATACACGTTGAGAGTCAGCCTAAAACCTGAGTCTGGTTATTCGAGAGATTAATTATTTTGTGAAACCCTCTTGCTCCAATAGCATTTCCTAAAACAAATTTCTGAATCTAGGTTTTAGGGAACCCCAAAAGAAAAACAAATCTCAGGAAGGGGGATTTTAGAATTAAACAGCTTAGACACAGGCTTTGAAAACATGAGTTATCAAAGAGTCCTCACATTCTCCTAAATATTTAGTGACGTGACTAAGAAGTTTACAAAGTTTCTATAAACAGCATAGAGATTCTTCAGTCCTTTCTAAAGGCAGGGAATTAGAGATAAGTGCTTAATTATTTTTTCAATCCTACAATCCTATGTGAAGGAAGAAATACCGAGCTTAACACATTCTATATTCCGACTATGATTTGTAAACATCACAAACCAGTTAAAGCGCTATGGTTTTTACCAGTAAGTCCTGGGTCTGGTTAACATGCGTAACCAGTAATCCATTGTCTGAATGTTGTCCCCGTTCATTCATATCCTTCTGGTCCAATTGCTCCTTTGGACCTCTGCCAGTGTTTCTGCTCATGCTACAAAACATAAAGTGATTGAATCAATGCCCAGCACTGGACACTGACTCCACACTCCCAAGGCTTCTTCTCTTTCCACTAGTCCCTAAAAGGATTCTAGAACATTTTTCTGTGTGGTAACTGAGAAAGGTTCCTGCAAAGTCCTGATAAAATGTGGACTCCCGGTTCATGAGACATTTTATTATACTCTTCTGGTAATTAGATAACAAAAGCCCTCAGGTAGATATAAGATGATGTGATGACCACTTATCCAGGTTTACTTCAGGACAGATATTTCCCCAACTCCCATGAGCAAAATGTTGTTTTCATTTGTAAAATCAGAGAATCATGCTTACCAATGATTTTCCAGAAATGTGTTGTCTTGACCAAAGAGGACATGGCTAGTTTGTGTAGCCATTGTGAAAACACCCAATGCTTATTTTCCTAAAGAGGAAAAAAAATACCAGAAAATAGGATACAGGCAGCACACAGACAATGGTTTTGAGGGTTATCTATGTTTGACTCAACGCTTGTTTTTAAAAATTTTAGAGGCAAGGTCTTACTCTGTCACCCAGGTTGGAGAGCAGTGGTGCAATCGTAGCTCACTGCAGCCTCGCACTCCTAGGCTCAAGCGATCCTCTTGCCTCAGCCTCCCAAGTAGCCAACACACCTGGCTAATTTTTTCAATTTTATGCAGAGATAGGGTCTTGCAATTTTGTGCAGGCTGATCTTGAACTTTTGGCCTTGTGAGGTCCTCCTGCCTTGGCCTCCCAAAATGCTGAGTACAGGTGTGATCCACTGCACCCGGCCAATCCTTCTTTAATTCAATAAATAAATACTTATTGAACACCTACTAGGTATCAGGCATTGTGCTTGGTGCTAAGAATACAATGATGAACAAGATAACAAGGCTTTGTCAACCTCAGCACTTCTGAGTCTTGGACCAGATAATTATTTGTTGTAAGGGCTGTCTTCTGCATTGTAGAATGTTTAGCAGCGTCCCTGGGCTCTATTAGATGCTAGTAGCATTTCTCTTCACTCTCCTGCAATGTGACAACCAGAAATGTCTCCAGACATGGTTAAATGTCTCCTGGGAGGATAAAATCATCCCCAGTGGAAAACCACTAAGATAGACTTTGTTCTTGTCCTCACAGAGCTTACATTCTAGAAGGAGACTTATATTTAAAAATTAAAGGGGCTTCAAACTGTGGAAAGTTATGAAGGCAGTAAACAAGATGATATGAAAGTAATCAGGAAAGGGATCTATTTTGCATAGGTCAGGTGATCAGGAAAGCTAGAAGGTTTAGACCTTCTTGAAGGATGAAAAGGAGGTGGCCATCTTAGGAGTATGATGAAGGTTAGACTATGCAGAGGGGATATCAAGTGTCAAGAACTTGAGGTGAGAAAGAGCTTGGCCTATACTAGGAATAGACCGAAAACTGGACAGATAGGGATTTCAAAAAGGGGTGAGGGGAAAGAAAAAAATATTGACATGAGGTTGAGTTATTTTCTCAGAACTGCATCTGAACTCAAACGGGTGAGTCCCTACAACTTACTAGCCATGGTTTATTGAATCAGCGGTAGACACGTGTCCAGAATGGGTCAATCAGATTCTCTCTCTGGGAATTCAGAATGAAGAGTTGTGGAGCTACCATGTACATTCAGAAGCAGGAGAAGTCTGTCTTCAGAGAATGGTCACTCCCTGCCTTGGTTTCCATGGGGCCACCCTCTCCTGGCTTCCTCTTTTGTCTCTACTTCTCCTTCTCGGTCTCTTTTACAGGCTCATCCTCCTCCTCTTCTACCTGAGTATCTTAAGTTGATGTTCCTTGAGGCCACATAGTACACCCTGTTCTCTTCTTTCTCCTCTCTTCTTAGGCAATCTCATCTATGTTTGTGGTTTCAACTACCAGAGTTCCATTAATGACTCCCAATCGTGTCTCAAAAGCTTAGACCCCTTACTGATTCTAGACCTGTGTATTCGCCACACTGGATATTTCCATTTGAAGCACCTCAAATTCAGTGTATCTGAGACTGAATTCATGATAATCCCACAAACCTATCCTCTTTTCATTGTTCTCCAGCATAGAGAGAATTACCACCATTTATCTACTCATGTGAGTCAAAATTTAGGAATTATTCTTGACAATCATTCCTCATATCCAATCCCCTCCTAATCTTGTTAACTGTACCTCTCTCAAATCTCTCCACTGATGTTTCTCTAGCCCAGGCCACTGCCATCTCTGCCATATACAAGCTGGCCTCTCTCTCTACCTCCTGTCAGTCCTCCCACACAATCTGTTCACCAAAGCGATCTTCTAAAAACACAGATTCAGTGTTACACCCCTTCTCGTCCCTTCTGCCTAAAGCTGTTCTATGCCTCCCCTTTATTTCTAGGATAGAGACTAAGATGCTTCAGACGGCATTTAAGGCCCCACAAGGTCTGGCTGCTGTCACCTACCTCTATAGATTTCTCACATCATCACTGCCCTTCCTTCTGTGTTCTACAACCTCACCCACCCCACCCCCAACCCCCAGTTCCTGGAATGCTATATTGTTCCTTTGACCACCAGGCATTTCACGCACTGCTATCTTGGTTCTGAGAGATTCTCCTCTCTTCCCCCTACCCTACTCATCCTTGACATTTCAGCTCAAATGTCACTTCCTCCAGGAAATTTTCTCCAGCACCCATTCTATTTCAGGTTCTTTTGTTTTATAGACTTTTATAGAATTGTGTTCCTTTCTTTTAGAGCATTTATCTTAATTTGGGATGATACATTCATTAGCAAGATTTTTAAACATTTGTGTGTCTCTCCCATTACACCATAAGTTACATGAGAGCAGGGACTGGTAGGTAGGCACTCAATAAATATCTTGAGAGGGGCCATGAAGGAAAGAGGGAGGTTGGGAAACTGCCTTGGTTCTTGAATGTTCCATTATTTATCCCAGGTGCATGTGAGAACTAATTTCTCTTTCTGCTCTTGGGTTCCATGAACTGCTCTGTTCCTTATATTAATAGTTCTCTACCTTTTTCTTCAGCTAGCTCATTTAGGCTTCTGTTCGTTGTAACCAAACCAAACAGAACAAAACAAAATACCAGCTAAGACACAGCAAGTGAGAAACTGAATAAAACTGCAGCTTAAACATCAGAGTGTATGCTCTTGTGAAATCATTAAATTAAATAGCCTGATAATGCAACTTGCTTTCCTCTTTCAGGTCTTTGATCTTTTATTCAGAGAGGTTTTGTTTGGAAGCACCAAGGTAATGTGGCAATGTCTAAAAAAACCCTGACTTTATTTCAGAAAGCTTCTCTGGGAGATTGTTGGCAGGGTCTGTTGAAATAAAAATGTCTCATGGACACTGGACGCCCCATAGGACCTCAGTTTCTTCTTTCCAGTGAGAGATTAACAGCTCCTAATGGATTCAGAAGATTGCACAGCTGGATTCTGGGGTGACTTATGCGGGCCGTGGAGAGGGTGTGACCTGCATAAAACTAACAAAACAACATGCTAGAAAGAGCTCTGAGGCTTTGGTTTCATCTGCAGATGCAACGGGGCTAACAGTAACCAACCTGCCCTGCCTACTTCAACTCCATTGTCAAGAGGATCCAGTGAAATTGAGAAAGTGCTTTGTGAATTACAAAAGTACCACAGAAATGTAGAATACCATGAAAACTATGCTGTACCTCGAACACTTCAGCATACGCCATCTAAGCAATCGTTTGTTTTATGAACGTTTATGGAGTGCTTGCTGTGTGTCGGAGAGAGCAGACAGTAAGGCAATACAGAGGTGCACAGGACACAGCCTTGCCCTCAGGCCTTTGCTCAAATGACCAGCATTAGCAAGGTCTTCTTTAAGTACCTTCACTCAAGGAGCAACCCTTCCATCCGGCTTTTTAAAATTATTTTTTATTTTTTGAGTTGGAGTCTTACTCTGTTTGTCAGGCTAGAGTGCAGTGGCACGCTGTTGATGGCCACTGCAGCCTCGACCTGCTGGGCTCAGGTGATCCTTCCACCTCAGCCTTCCAAGTAGCTGGAACTACAGGCAGGTGGCACCACGCCTGGCTAAACTTTTGATTTATTGTAGAGATGAAGTCTCACCAAGTTGCCCAGGCTGGTCTCAAATTCGTGGCAATCCTCTTACCTCTATCTCCCAAAGTGCTGGGATTATAGGCGTGAGCAACTGCACCTGGCACAGCGTGTTTCACTATTTCACATTCCATATACTTATTTACTGCCTCGCCTCTCCTCACATGCATAACCACACTAGAAGTAAGATCCGTGAGAGCAGGGACTTAGTAATGATTGTATAGAACCTCTTTGCATAGAGCAGTGTCTAGAATACAGTAGCTGTTCCAAAAACATTTGTGGAATAAATGTACTACAGGCAAGCCTAGTATTTAGGCAAAGATGAGCTACATTACCCTGTGGGAGCAGTTGGAGGAGGGAAAAATAACAAGCTGGTCAATGGCAGACAGTGTTTGAGTCAAAGGGAGAGAGGAATCCCGGGTTATATGGAGGGAGGGGGTAGCTAACTTTCTGGTTAAAGCCATCCCCAGGTTTTGGGTTTTTTAAAAAAATTAAGTTTTTATTTTGAGTTGGAGTCTCACCCCGTTGCCCAGGTTGGGGTGCAGTGGCACGCTCATGGCCACCCCAGCATTGACTCGCTGGGCTCAGGTGATCCTTCCGCCTCAGCCTTCCAAGAGCCAGAACTACAGGCTCGCACTACCACACCAGGCATATTTTTTTATTTATTGTAGAGATGAGGTCACCCAAGTTGCCCAGGCTGTTCTTGAACCCATGGACTCAGGCAATTCCCTCACCCTGAACTCCCAAAGTGCTGGGATTTAGGGCTTGAGCCACTGTGCCCAGCCAAGTTTTTATTTTTTTTAGAAACAAGTTTTGCTTTGTTGCCCAGGTTGGTCTTGAACTTCTGGCCTCAAGAGATTCTCTCACCTCAGCCTCTAAAAGTGTTGGGATTATAGGCATGAGCCACCACCTCTAGTCTAAGGGTTTGTATGTTTATCTGCAAAATTACCTCCAGTTTTCCCCCATCTAATCCATTTCAATCCACATTGTAAGAATGCAGTTTCCAGCATGCCGGCTTTCTTACCTCTCTACCTGTGCAGAACCCTGCCATGGCTCCTCGGTGCCCTACAACAATCAAGCTGGACCTCTGTGAGGCTCATCATTTCTGCAGGATCTGCTCCTGGCCAATCTCTCTACCTCATCCCTCATCCACATCTGCTCCCTGGCAACCTCTATGTATACCTTACTATATTTCATACCCCCTCTTTGCTGGAGCTTTGCCCCTTTTATCTGACAGAAAAACTCGGGAAGTCTTTCCTGAACCTCATTCACTGTCCCCAGCAACCCAGGGAGGAAACTGTTCCCTTCTGTGAAGTTCTCTGTTGTTGCCCCCTCACTACCTCATATCAAATTGTCATGATCTGTCTCCCCAACCAGCTCCATGATTTCCTTGTCTACTGTCACCACCACCCCCCGCCCCCCTGCCCCCGGAACTTGGCACAATGCTTGGCATGTAGGGAGCTGAGACTTAAGACCCCAGGTCCCTTCAGCCTTCTCATTCAGTCCAAAATTAGCGCCCGGGCCTCCCCCACCTTCTCTCTTACCACCGCTGTCAACCTTGTGGCACTCACCCTCACCTGCATTTCTTCATTTATTTCTCCATCTTTGGGAGAAGGGAGCCTGGCAGCCCAGGGCCTTGCTTCTCCAGGTTCTTACTTGTAGTTTCTCCAATATCCTCCAAGCAACGCTACAGAGAAGCTTGCCCTGCGGGAAGTGTTAGCCGGTCGCCAAGGCAACAGACTGCACCACTGCAGCTTGGGGTAGGGTAGGAGAAAACCTTCCTCACCCCAGGGAAGTTATCATTTTGTTGTTGATAAACACGTCTCCCAGTCTCCCACGTCTCCCGCTTTGCTCTTCTCTACCCTCACACAGGCCTGGAAGCAGGATTTGGGCCTCTTTTCTATTTTCGGAAGCTCTCGGTCAGCAGAGAACTATGGTTTAGACCAGTAGAGCCCTGGTGCTTGCTGCCTTCTTGTGGTAGGGACTGTGGAAGATACCGGAGAATCTGCAACAGGTATGAAAGGTGGGTAACCTTGTCTTCCTCTTCGGAATCCCTGGGGTCCCCTAAACGCACTCCCTGGGAGAAGTCTGACAGTGCCCTATCCCCACCAGGTCCAACCCCATCCAAACCTGGCTACTACAGCAGCAAGCTCAGTGACCTCTTAGCATCAGAAGAGAGAGATCTTTACTATGATGGGTCCTAAACCCAGATGCCCAGCAGAATCACCTGAGTTTTCTGTGGGAAAACATTCTCATCCAGGAAACTGATTCAGAACTGTAATAAAGTGTGGCAACATTAATTTTTAACAATGGCTCTACATGATCACGATATAATTAATCCTTGGTCCATAGTTGGGGACCTCTTTAACCGCTTCATTTATAGAAGTTAAGAGAGACAATGTGATATATCCAACATCAACTAGTTTGTAAGTGGCTAAGGAAACTGCACTTAGTTTTTCTTATCCAGGTCATTTCTTAAATCAGTCTTCACTTTCTGAAGCTTTAGTTTTTAAGTTAGAACATGTACTACTGTGGAAGTCACCACATACTAGAGAACCCCTCCAGATGTTGACCCCAGCAGTGGCTCCTATTGGCCAGGTCAGAAACAAACCAACTTCTCAACATAGAAACTGCTTTATGAGCCACTGGTCACGCTGGGCAGAGTAGTCATGGGCTGAGAGCACCATGTGTAAATCGAGGGCATTTGTTATTTGGTCAACACCAAGAAGGCAGCAAAGGAGGAAGATCAGAAAAAGACAAAGAAATCACACGAGGTTGCAAGCAACCTATGGCTACTCTGTGAACAAGAGGTGAGAGTCCTCATGCCCACCTGATGGAAAGTCTAGTTGGGTAGCTTTGAGACACCACTGTTTTTTAGACATGGGGGCCTCAGGTAGTCCATCACCCTTACAACTTTATTTGCTCCCTGGATACAAGGGTTTTCAGCTTTGTACGAGAGGTAAAATCCACTCCTGAGAATTCTGTTTCTTCTTTTCCTGGAGCTTACACAACACACATATTCTGGATCTATTTGTGCCAGATAGATAAAGCAGAGTAGGCTAAAGCTATGTGTGGGTACCATCTTTCTTAGCTTCACTCAGAATGTAGATTATGATGGGCCCCATGAGAGGCATCAGGATATAGCAGAAATTTCTCTTAGGTTCTTAGGAACTAATCAGGGTCAGCTTATGTCTGGTCTTTTATTTAGGAGCTGGATAGGTCCTACTACGGAGGAGTATGTTGGGATATGCTTTTTAGATATTGTGTTTTATTTCTTTCCTCCATTTCAAACCAAGAGCAGGTGCTTTTTGTGGGGTTGAGAAGCAGCAGCCTGGAGTCAACTGTTTTTTCTCTTTTGCAAAAACCCAAGTTAACTAAAAGATTAAAGTAACATGCTGAAGCAGAGGAGGTGAGGAATGTGTCTAATGTCAAGAGGAAAGTGAGAGTGTAAAGATTCTTTCAGCTAAAAGAGACAGAAACACAACTCAAATTGGCTTAAGGAAAATAGGGAATGTACTTGCTCAAATAACAAAAGAATCCAGGGATAGTTTTGGCTTCAGGCATGGCTTGATCCAAAGGCTAAAATGAGGCTAACAGAGCATTCTCCATGTCTCAGCTTCCTTTCCTGTGATGCCCGGGCTCCAGCCATCCTTCTGCTTCAGCCTTCCAAGTAGCTGGAACTGCAGGTGTGCACTACCACGCCTGGCTAAATTTTTATTTATTATAGAGATGAGGTCTCGCCAAGTTGTCTGGGCTGGTCTCAAACATGCGGGCTCAGGAAATCCACTCACTCGGCCTCCCAAAGTGCTGGGATTACAGGCTGAGCCACCGAGCCAGGCCAATGGCTTGATTCTCAGGGAGGCTCTTCATGTGTGGCTGCCAGCAGTACTAAACTCTTCCCCCAACAACTTGTCAACTCTAAAGGAAGAACACCTCTTTCCAGGAGTTCCAGCAAAGTCCTAGGCTGGTCATATGTGATGCTTATTTCTGAACCAGTCATTATGACTCTCAATTGGCCAAGTCTTGCTTTTGTGTCCAGTTCTGGATTCAAAAGGTGAAATCAGCCCATGAAACCACATGGCCTGAAGGTGGAAAAGAGGCAGTTTTCCAAAACGATTTTTTTTTTAACCAAAGAAGGGGATATGGGTACTAGCCAGACATGCCTCTGAGGGAAGTCAAAGTCTGCCAAACAGTTTTTAAAAAATCAGAAATCTAAAAATCAGAGGGAGTAGAAACTTGCTCTGAGTTTGGTAGCTGCGCTTTGCTAAGATGGCAGGGCCTGAGAGAAAACGGGCCCTTGGTGCACTTAGGGCAAGAGTCCATAGGCACAGGAGTTCCCAGCCCACCAAATCTTATCATGCCCAAAGTATAAGATAAACACAGTGAAACTACTATATCATTCAGCCTCGGACAGTTGATGACTTAGCAGTAACTGCATAGACAGATGACAGACAACTAGAGGGGCCTCCCTTATGTTTAAGCCATGGACCTCTGCACAACTTAGGGTACTCCAATAACAATGCATTTCCTACCAACATGGTAGAAGGGATCCAGTTGGTTCCTAAGTGCTATGGGAGCGGGGAGTGGCCTGTTTGGGAAGATTTCCTTGGGTGCTCGAATCCTGAAAAGACCCCAATAAAATCAATGGGTGACCTTATCTAGCTTTACCAATCAATGAAGTTAGCATGATAAAATACCACTGAACAATGATTATTACAAAGAGAAGGCTTGACAATGAGAGGGGAATGATGGAAGATTAGCCACAAACAACTTAATCAGTAGGAGGTTTTCCTTACCTATATTTTTTTCTTCAACAAGTAGAAAGTGTTGCTAAATAAGGACTACCTTTTATGGTTGTTTGCATTCCACATCCAGAAGAAGCAAACCATAGATTTAGCTGCTCATGCTTGAGCCAAGGAATCATGCAACTGGGACAGCTATTTTTATTTCCTTTAGACTAGCCAAACTAGCAATGTGGGACAGCAGGAGTCCTAGAGCTGAAGTCGGGAACCAGATTCACCAATTACCAGTTATAGAAACTTGATTAGCTGTTCGCCTTTTTGATCCTAGTCTATAAAATAACACCTCTTACTTCGCAGGAAGAGAAATGAGACATAGGAAAAAGCACATAATACATGAACTTAATGTTAGTTTCTCTAAACTTATTGAATGCCATTATTATTTACCACAGTACTTTTGAAAATGTAAATTGCCTCAAGAGAGTAGTAGATATGATTTAAGTAGAAGATCAGGTTATTATACTTGGGAAGTTTTTGTTATCTAAGACCTAAGTTCACAGCAACATTATCCATAATAACAAAAATCTTGACTATACATCAAAATGGGAAGATGAATATATTTATTTGATCAACTATATTATCAAATGGAATACCATGCAGCCCTTAAAAATGAAGAAGCTCTATATACTGACACAAAAATTTCCATCACAAATTAAGTCAAAAAAGGAAGTAGTAGCAGATATATAATATTGTCTTATTTTTATTATATTAAACAACAGTAAAATATCTGTTAAGATACCCAATAAACTTATCAATGGTTATCCTTGGAAGGTGGATTGTGGGGGAGGAAACTTTTAATTTCCTATATTCCTGCTGTTTAACTTTACAAATATGTTAGTGTAAAAAGAAAATCCTTTTATCCCAGTATATGTTCATAACTTTCTCCTCCACAATAGCACTTAAGGCAAGAAAAAGCTATATATCTGTGAAAGAAATGGGCTGGGCGCGGTGGCTCATGCCTGTAATCCCAGCACTCTGGGAGGCAGAGGTGAGAGGCCACGGGTTCGAGACCAGCCTGGGCAACTTGGCGAGACCTTATCTCTACAATAAATCAAAAGATTAGCCAGGCATGGTGGTGCATGCCTGTAGTTCTAACTACTTGGAAGGCTGAGGCAGAAGGATTGCCTGAGCCCAGCAGGTTGAGGCTGTGGTGGCTGTGAGCATGCCACTCACTCCAGCCTGGGTGGCAGAGTGAGACTCTTACTCAATAAAAAAAAGAACGCAGAAATGAAGTACTAGAGTGGTGTGTGAGAGTACTGGTGGGATTGCAATAAATTAGTACATTTAGCTACTATCTACATTAAAATACATAGAAGGTGGTCAAAAGCTTCCTTAGATATGTGAGTTTTTTTTTTTTAACCTTAGAACAGAATGGAATAATTTATAATAACAGAATAATGGAATTATGAATAATGGAAAGGATTTTCTTTGGTTCTTCAACTGTGTTTGCATTTACTGTAAAGAACAAAGCAATGTAAAAGAATACTTTTTTTTTATTAAGTACTTGAATTGTCTTAAACAACCAAAAGTAAATATTTAAACAATGTGAAAAAGAGTGCCAAAGTCAGAACACAGTATTTATTTCACTGACTTGCCCTGACAGATAATGAATAGGGATTTATTTGCAAACAAATGCATTGGCAGTTATTTACTAAAGTACCATAAAATGGCCAATTGGGGATAACCTCATCTAAATGAGATCAAATCCTTGAGACCATTCCTTTTAGCAGAAGTAATTAACACCATCTTGGCAGGACCAAGTCTTTGCAAAACATACTAGATGTATGGCTTCCAAATAGCAGAGAACCTACAAGCTTGCAGAGGTCTCCAGAGAGTTCTCTCAAGATCAACAGGGTCCTGGTCCTCTTGCTATAAGTGTAAATGTTA